AAAGTGTATCACTTAAAAATCTGTATAAATCATAAATCAAAATTTAGATTTTTTTTTTTTTAAGAAATGAAAATGGGTAACGTGTTGTAACCTATTTAATAACAATCACTCTGTTGACTCCTTTGCCTTTCAACGCTACTCAGAAGAGCACTATCCTTTGTGGATGACTTTTTGATGGAACGAAAGCTACATAGAGAGAAAAAAGACGAAAATCTCTCACGGTTAGCCAAAGAGCAAGGATATTTTCACCCATTGTCCCCCTACCACCCTCTATTACCCACTAAGGATACTTTTTTTCGGCAGCTTAATTCGTACTCACTAGCCATCGCCGGGATTTGAATCTTGGTCACCTCATCTGCTCTCTTATTATTTTTTCTTCTCCATACATATTTTTTCCCGTATTAATATGGGGATGACCATAAAAAAACGAATTGCGATACTTTACTTTATTGTATCGATTTTTTCAACTATTAAAATACTTGCAAACCTCTACAAAGGATCAAAGGACATAAAATTTTAAATATTTTGAAAAGAGAAAGACGTAATAACAATTGAGTGTATTTGTGCATTTGTTCGTGTAAAGATAATGTTGACACTTTACACAGTAGTTGACAGTAAAATAAGCTTTATAATGTATTTTGAACAAATTTTCACATTTTATAATACTACTTTTTTAATAAATGATTCTGAAATAGTTTTTAATTATTTAAAAATATTCTTAAAAAAAATGCGTATCATTTGATTTAAAGCAATTTAAAAAGGGAAAAATCTATGCGTAACTGCATTTTAAATGAAACACTCGACTTGATGCATAGTAATACAATTTAGAATAATTTGAAGTATACATTTTTACTATGATTCTTACATTAATATACAAAATGAAGGATTGAAATGTATTTTTAATACCTATTTTTTTTTTTTTTTTTTAATTTTTTTTTTATAAAAGGTACCGAAATTGTATGTAAATTATTTTAACTTACGAACTCGAGTTAAAATTTAAATTGCTTTTAAGAATTAGAGTGTGAATGAATTTTAATTTAGGTTGAATTGAAAATGAAGTATTAAAATTGATTTGTACAGCTTAAGTTTCACAACTTTTTTTTTTTTACAAATAATTCTATAGCAATATTTATCATTTTAACACATTTTTTAATGAAATTATATCAAATTATTTTTAGAAAAGGAATTCTATAAAGTAGTAGCGATTTATACGCCTGATACTTCATATGGTAATTAGCTCTTATCGGATGTTATTGATCAGGGGTTTCCAACTTACGTGTGGGCGGGGGCCGTAATTGAAAACACCAGTCAAATGGCGGGCTGCAACTTTATCAAAATTTTATATAGGACTCTTTTATGTTTGAAAGAACATTAAATATTATTGTCAGATTTTTATCAAAGTTTTTTTAACATTAAAAAGCAAAATAACAAAAGCAAAATAACAAGCATTACAAATAATGCTTGTTACGTATCATTTTGAATCTTCTCTTAATCAGAAACTTAGTGAGAAGATTTTTTTTCTTCTTCTAAATTTAATTCTGTGATAAATTAAGATTTTTTTTCGACTTATTAGGAATTATAGCAACAAAAAAAATTTCACGAAAATTCTTTTATGTGTTTTAAAATTTACAAATGTAAATTTCGTCCAAAATAAGTGGTTTCAAAAAGTTAAAAGGGACAATTTCTTCGAGAAAATTTCTGATACACACATGATAAATTATATTCACAAAATACAAAAAAAACGAAATAAAAAAGAGCAATATACATGATTATTTTCGTATTTGAATAAATATTTTCTTGGATGCAAAACCTGAGAAATAATTTTTTTTGCACCGTTAAATTTCACAGAAATGAAGAAATTAAGTTTTTTCAAACGAAAGAAAAGTGTTTTAAGCTCATATTAATTTTTTACGAAAATTGTCTGCAAAAAAACTAGAACTAATATAGTTTAGTTCGTGGGCCACAAAAAAGGGCTTCGCGAGCCGGATGCTGCCCCCGAGCTGCCAGTTGGTAACCACTGTTATAGATATAATAAATGAGGAACTGACGTGCATTTTTGTTGTTTCATTTCTTATAATTTTCTTTATCGATTTCTCCGAAATAATATTTCAATTATTTTAAAATGTTTTTTGGTGAAATTGTATTAAAGATCATTATTGTATCAAAGTTTTGTTGCATAAAAGTGTATCACTTAAACAGGAAAATATATAGTTGCATTTTAGTTTTAAACACTTGATACACAGAATTATATTTCGAATACTTATTACTATTAATTGTTACTCATATCTAATGTTCATAAATTAGTTATTAGAATATACTTTTACTGCTCTATCTTTAAAAACATTTTTAATAAATTGTGCCAAAATAGAATTTAATTATTCTCAAATATATTTTCAATGAAATTCCATCCAATTCCAATTATTTAAAAAAAGGAAAATATATGAGTGCACTTATTTTCGTATAGATTGTTCTGAAATATTATTAAAATTATTTTAACATATTTATGTTTGTATTAGAATTTAAAATATATAATTGTCAGAACTTAAAATGAAAATATATAACTGTGCATTTAAAAGAACTAATTTTGCAAATGTGTATTCTTATGGTAGCGATAAATTAAAACTACGATCTGAGACTTTTTTTAGCATTCTCGAATGTTCTAATTTAAGGGAGAAAGCATTAACAAAAGGAAAAACTTATCTTTCAGTAATATTACAAATAATACAATTTATTTAATGTGCGCATAAGACTTTCTTCTTGTAGAATTACTTATCTAAATGTTGAATAAATTTAATTATAGTATAATGTTCTTTTTTTATGCATATCGTATTACGAATTATCATTTTTGTAGCAAAATATTAAATATTACATTGGCTATGAGCGAATAAATAAAATATTTTTGAAAAGGAGCATGTTTTTTTTTCCGAGTTATTAATTTTTTAAATGTTATGTGTTCATTTAAAAATATTTTATGATATAAAAATGAATTTTAATAAATTAAATTGTATTCTAAAATGATGCTTAAATTTCTTTAAAAATTTTTTTTTTTAAATTTTAAAACTTAATCAGTTTAAATTAGTTCATTTCTTAATTTTTTGAAATCTTACCGAGTTCAAATTCTTGCTTTATTAAATTTTTTAACTCATGTTTATACAATAAATAATAAAAAAATGACTGAATCCTTCAAAAATTGTGCATATATCAAAGACTTGAAATTACAAAGGAATAATTTTGTCCTTTCTAATATTGAAAGTATGTACCAGGATATGTTGTTTTCTATCAAAAATATTTTCCTTCAAAAGTAATTTTCTGAATGATATTAAAAAAAAGGAATATTGTCACAATCATAAAAGTTATTAGCACCAACAAAAAAATAATATTTTAGAAGAGCTAAAAAAAAAAGTACGGTTGTTCATAGTCAATTTCAAAAAATATTTTTAGCTAAGAAAAAGGAATTTTATATAATTAATATTTCTTAGTACTCGTCTGCTTGAATAATGTTATTATTTTTGATTTTTTTAATTTAAAAAATATATTTTTCTTTATGCAACATAAAGTATTATAAGATATTTTGCATCTATGATTATTTCAGTTTCAGTGAAAACATTACTCCAGTTGCAGTAAATGATATGAAAGAAACATTCATTTTGTGTCACTAATATTTATTTTCTTCTTACTATTCTAATTAATTAGCATATTTGAGGTTGAGTCCTAGAAAGGGAAAAATCCTAGCATTAGATCAAATGATATTCTGTTTCTTTTTCTTTTGGCGGACTGTACACCTAAATTATTTTAATACTAATTAATTATCGAGCTGAAATTTTTATGATACATTCCTTATTTTAGTCTAAAAAAAATTAAAATTAGTAATGGGGTAAAGTCAAATATATACTAAATAAGAATTATAAAATCGTTTGCTCAAAGAACCTTATTGCTATAATAATAACTTTCAGACATTATTATTCAACAAAATAAAATACCTTAAGATATTTTTTACGGACAAATGCCACGAAGTAGTCTTTACTTTAATGTTAGAAAAATCGTTTTTCGCAGGTTACTGCATCTTAATTAAACGATATAATAGCATATAACGATATAATAGTATACTATCGATATTATATCACCCAGATATTCATAAATGTTTTACGCATAGTTAGTGTATTTTTACAGTTAAAAAAATTTTTTTTTTAATGAAGTCTATAAAAGTACACAAACGATCTTAAAGATAATATCCAAGAGAAATCAAGCGACGGCCGGAAAAGCAGACGATCCGAAAAGTTCGCTTACCTGCGTATCCGCCATGGTACGCATCCACAGAAATCGTTTGCTCGAGTTGACAGCAAATATGTCCTTCATGAAGACCATGAACAACATCACTATCGTCCTTGCTCTTGACGTTATGGCTTTTTATTTTTGGAAAGTTTAAGATTTTCGCCAGAGACCTCTAGATCTGCTAAGAAAAGTAGAGCTCAACTCAACCGAAACACTCACACACCGAAATAAATATACAGCCGACCCACTTTAGATTCTTCCACCATAGAAAATAACGGATCTTCCTAAAACAGTCACTTCGAACAAACTATCAAAGATATGCGAAAGGAAACTCTTTATATACCAGATTGTTTCTCCACCCACCGATGCGCACATTTCCTTCTTATTTATTATTTTGAATTTTAATAGTTTCGGTGATTTTTTTTTTTTACTATTATTTTGAACGTTGATGTTTCAATTTCACTTTCTAATATGATTCTCACAGTCCATAAAATTTTTTTTATAGAAAGGCGGGCGGGAATTTTCTTATTGTTGTTCTCACTGGGTGAAAGGGGGTCAAATTTCTTCTCGCCTTTAAAAGAAAAGTGTTGAAAATAAGAGTGGATAAATAGTTTAAAAACAGTCTTATTTTTAGCTGAACTAAAAATATTTTCATGCTTAAAAAAAAAACAAATTATTTTTGCTATTTTCTAACACAGCTACCTGTCCCTTGATGTGGTTTTTTCTTACAACTGTAAATTGCAAATATTTTATTCAAAACTCTAATTGTAATAAATCAAAAATTTGGCGCATATCTCGTAATCTTGTTGAATGATTCGGAGTCATTATTTAGAAAGGTGTCATAAGACAAATTTGAAAAGTTTTCAGAATTTTTTGAATCACTTTGACACAGTAAGTTCATATGCCATTAGACTAACTGGAAAATACATTCATTGCTTCAATAAGCCTCCAATTGGTTCACTCAGTGAAGGCTTATTGGTTCATTGTTAAAGGTTTGTCGTAACAAACAAGTTTAGTGTGATTCATTAATTCTTCGCATATTTCTTTAATAACCTAAAGACATTTTAGGCTGTTTGAGAAATATTAAACAGAAGAGAAAATACTGCAGACGTTTTTTTCCCGCTTGGTGCGAACTCTACTCGAAAAAAACTCAATTTAAAAAATAAAAAAAAAATCGCTGAAAAGTATGTCATTAATATTAGAACAAAAAGTTTCAAACATAAATGTATAGTCTTTAAAAAAAAGTATTCCTTTAACCTTGGTCACTTGAATGAAATAATCAGTTTTAATGAGTGAGTGACGACTAATCGTTCGACTCCTAGACTTTGAATTAAAAACAAGTATATTTCATATTTTGTTTAGTTATTTCAGACAAATTAACATAACTTAAGAAAGCAGCATAGTATTTCAATTAAAAACTGAAATAGGGTAAAAATGATTCCTTAGCAGTTCGTTTATTCATGTAGGGTTGCTAAGAGTGCACCCTCCATAAGTAGTTGAATACGTTTTAGTCATTTTTAGGTGAACAGAATGAAAAAGATTTAGGATAGTAATATGCAGGAAAAATAAGGATAGTAATATGCAGGCCTGTGAACTAATAGTAGATTAGTTTTTATCCTTTATGAATCTGCAATCGAGAGTTTCATTCCTTCGTTTAATGAACAGTGTCATTATTTTTTTATTTTAAGAAAACGGCCATTTGTCGCTTTGTTAATGTACTTCATCTGAAATCATTTTTCAGATTTTTTTTTTTCAACGTACCAGTTTGACTTGTTTAATTTATTCGTGATTTTCCTTACATTTAGTTACAAGTTTACTGTCCCTGGCCAAACTATTAGACGCACTCTATGTAAAATCTTAATGATACTCTATACAGCTTTAGTGTTTTTATGCGACTGAAACCGGTTTGCACTTGTTTACGTTCGTGTATCAATGGGTTAAATTAGACGATATATTATATATAGAATATTTATTATATCAAGCATTATATTAGTATGTTGTAATGATTAGATCAAATTTTGAGACGCACTTCAGTATTTTAATAATGACCTGCTTTGCATAGGCAATACTTTTATATTTAAACATACATGTAAAAGGGTTTCAATTCAGGAGATCTTTTTGATGTACTTCCTATTTGTATTTATTTTTAACGTATCGCATTACANGTATTCGCTCCACATTTTCTGGACTTGTGCTGGGTCGTCCGGCTCCACTTTTATGCAATACTGATCCGGTGCTCATGAAGCTTGTGTGCCATGCACGGATGGAGGGTCTGGATTGGATTGGGTCTCTTTGGAAATTTGTCCCGAAGTTCCGTTGAACCTGTGTATCTGATTTCGTCTCTATGAACCACGAGACGCATTGAGATTTCTGTTGTGGTGTCCACATCCTCACTTATAACTTCTCAGCTTATTGAAGAAAAAAAACTTTATTAGTTGCAGTAATACATGCAAAAGACAGAATATATATATCTTGTTTATGTTCGAAGTTATGAATTTTTAAAGCTGTAAAGATAATTTTGGAACACCCTGTACTTCCTATTTGTATTTATTTTTAACGTATCGCATTACAATGTCAACCAATGGATACCGGAGCATAAAACCAGAGGTAACCACCAGATATGAACGGTTCATAATATGTGATTGTAATTCTGTATATTTTGTTTTTGGGATCGTAAAATCTATAGTCTCCTAAAACAGAAATTTCCTTCGTGCATTATTAATTTTACGTTAAATTGATTCACTTCATCTGAGTTCATGTTGGCCTTGAGTGAGGTTAATAGGGCTCTTTTGTTTATTCTAAGGGTAGCTATTTATTTAAACAACCTTAAATAGTAATATCTTGTTCTTAAAAAAAAAAAAATGTGAGAAGTGTATTTGTACATTCTTTCTTGTTTTTATTTAAAAGGTTAAAAGAATGTTGAACAAGAATTAGCAACAAAGATAGCTAGCATTCATCACCTCGAAGAAGTTATTCGGACATTGGATGGGGAAAAAGAGAAGACTTACTGAAAAAAAAAGGGGGAAGTGCTGAATTTAATTCCACATCTGTAAAGAAAGAGCAAAAAGAAATCTTCCAAGAATGAAGATAAACCAAACCATATTCTATAAATATTATAAAATTCTAAATTTGTTTAATTATATGATTGAATGCCTTATTAAATTTGCATAAATTGTAATACAGTCTAATTTTTTTAATATGACCCCTATTATAGCGACCTTTCCATCATAAAAAAAAACATGTCAGTTCCTTTGTGTGGTTTATTTTTGAGTTAAAACGTTGGTTGCGACAGAGTCTAGCTGCTAATGTCATAACTGGAAGAATATTTGAAGAAAAATACTTTAAGATGAAATAAAATAGGTTATAACCGCATTAGATTACTAAAAGTATTATCACAGCAAAAGAAAACCATTAACAAGAAATGACAAACTCACCTTGTGAAAGCACTACTGGAAGTAACAACCTAACTATCAAAAAGGAAAAAAATTTAAATGGATAAGCACTTTAAAAATGCTACACATCATGTTTAAGTTAAAATAATGCTCAATTACAGCCTAAAACTTAATTGAAATCAGTCACAGATTGGATAGAAATAGTATACATCTAGATATAGAGGGAATGATTTTATTATTCGATATTACATCATAAAAAATCAATGTTTTCTTAAATATAATCTATTTAAAAATATCTTTTCATTATCGTTACAAAAAACAATTAGAGTTGAATGATTTTCTTTTTAAGTAAATATTTACTAGATTATGTTTAGTAATATTTATATTAAGTAATACTTACTAGTTCAAGTTTATTTCATCGTTTTTTTCTTCTATGTATTAAATATTTAAATTCCCATATCTATTCTCATCATTATTCTTTTCTAGTATTATGAGTAAATAGTTTTCTATTTCTAAATTTATAAAATTTAATTCCTTTTTCTGCAATATAGTATTAACAAAGTATGGTTATTGCTAATTTTCCTCCTTATTTCTGCATTTTATTTGTCCGTGCTTGAAAAGAAAAATTCTAAAACAGCAAAGTTAATGCGCTATACATTTTTAATAAAAAAAAATTAAAATAGTGAAAAAAAAATCTCAAGTTCACCAAAACACGAATAAACATTTTCAAGAATCTAATTTTATCAGTCCTACATTATCGCCGCAGCCTAAGTGCTTAAACTTATTGTAATTTAGCGACTTAATGTTTTTGACAACGAATACCATTAATGTTTTTGTTTCACTAAAGCTTTATGCAAAATTCCTTTCCACTAAAAAAATAGAACTTATCCTCGATCGCATTTCGAACAAAGTTGTAATTAATTTTCAACTGGTATTCTATACCTTGTGACCATAAAATTTTCATGTATGCTGCAAAAGAAAAACCTTATTACCAATCAAAATTAGACTCATTTCAGACTAGCTATATTGCTTACATTTTAAACTAGATCTCTGTATTTGATGCCTATGAAAATTTTGTCTTAAATGATACTTTTAATTTAACTAAGTATAAAAAGTATAAGCAGTACTCAAAATAAAGCCCTGAATATCCTTTTCTAATGATCAGATTTTTACTAAGTGCCAAACGTAGCAGTTCAAACGGGGAGCCTCAGATAAGAGAATTGGAGCTAACTTTTCAGCTACAGAATTTGTCACAAATACTTAGTTATTAATTATTGCTAGCTATTGAAGTCATTCTTTTGAAAAATTAAGATTGTCACTCAATTTGTGAAAATCCGGACACTGGAACAAAAAGTTACTCAATGTGATATAGTTTATTTTTCTCACTGTACAGCATTGAAACAGATACCGCAGAAACACTTTTCGCGCCGTTCACAAAATATGAAAAGCTAGTGTTTGAGTCTTAACATGGAAGACCTCCGAAATCTGGCTTATCTGAAAGCAATCATATTATCGAAGTTTAATTATATACCTTTACTGGGTAACTTTAATGCAACTTTAAATTCATCCTTGAAAAATGAGAGCCAACGAAAAAGACGAAATCCAAATATCAAGAATAAGCTATTTATTCATGGCTAATAAGAGTAGAACAAGACACAGAATTGCATGTATCTATGCATTATGTAAAAGAACATAAATAACACAATGGAACAACATCTACAATGCAAAGCTAAAAACAATTAACACAATAACAAAAATATCATACAATATCAATATTTGCTACCACTTTAAAGTAGAATAATTAAAACAGCAAACTATGAAGGAAAAAAAACGTTTAGAACTTTCACATAGCCTTTGGTTTTATACACAACTCGTTTACTCATAAAGTATTTTTAAAAAACTGTAACGTTTAAATGACAAAGTTACGAGTAAAAAATTTTGGTTCTGAATGGAAATATATTACAGTAAATGAAATTCAAATCTTGAAACTTTTTTCTGAAAGAACAGACAAAAAACTGGAACAGTAAAAGCTTCGGGAAATCATGACTGAATTTATTTTGATACAAAATGACAACTTAAGCAATCTCATTTTTTAGTTTAATAAATATACTTGTTATAAATTTACTATAACCTTCATGCTCTTACAAAGTGAGAATGATATATTTCAGATGTTTAAATCATTTAAAACAAATTCGGTGCGAAAAATTCGATTTGCCGGAGTATCTATAAAGAGTGAATTAAAATTGCTTATTAATTCTTTAAATGAGTTTAAGGGTTTACTTATCAGATACGCATTTTTAATTAAGGTTAGAAAAAATATCAAGGATTTGAGGTTTCTAATGAAAATTTGACTTTTATAACCAGTAGTGAATACAAAAATATTTGACAGTATAATTCAACATAAATTTGGAATTTCATTTTGTCTCGCAAATAAAGATATTTCCATGAATTAAATACTTTTTAAATGGATTTTAAAATAAAAGTTAAGAAATTTTCGTCGGAAATTTTAATTTCATAAATACTGATTGGATCTACATTTATCTTTTTTACTACAGAAACGAGTTATTTCCAAAAACATTTAAGATACAAAAAGTATAGAAAACTTTTGAACCATTAAATTATTCCTACATTATTACCGATTGCCGCACTTAATAACCTCACTCTGTGAGCGCAGGTCGGTTCTTGGCCACCAAAGCTTTTACTGCTTCATTCTAACAGTAAAAAACAGGTACTGCTATTACATTGAATAACACAAAATAAAATCTCTGGAAATACATGAACTTTGAAACATTTGACAAGATTATGTTTACGTTTCTTCAAAAAATAATTTTACTTTCCTACAATAAAAATAGGTCACGGTCAGTATGACAATTATGTAAACATTTAATTCGAAAGAAATTGTCATTGCAGGGTTTAGAGTAGGAACCACGGAGGTCTGTTCTCGAAAACTTTCAACAAGTTAGCTTAGTGCAAAAAGAGATATCCAACTGAATTTAATTTGCTGCTCAACCAGGGTTGGATGGCAGACCCATTTCTGGGTTTACGATTATGACTGTTCAGCTCCATACGATCGCACACTTGAAACGAAACCAGAAGACGAGAGAACTCCTGGATCGAAATAGCCTTCATGGAGGACTTATGCTGCAACTAACCCGCATTTGCGTTACATGGAGAGGGAACCATGAAAACCTTCCACGGTTAGCTCGACGGTATGGGAATTTTAACGCACGAATCAGGATATCTTACGTAGACCAGAAAGTTCTGCGATTCTAACTTTAGCCACATCTTTGGGAATGAAATCATCTTCGAGGAACAGATCAGTCTCATCTCATTTGACAAATACAAAATGGCCCTTTCAATTTCCTTTTCAATCTCGGCAACACTTGAATTTGGAGAATGGCGCAAAATTCATTTTCTGCTAAATTAAATTTATTATATGTAAAAAGGGCTTGGAGGAACAATAGAAAAAATAAAAGTTCATCTCACCTACTAGGCCAGCAAGTTAATTGAAAGTAGGCAGCAACACATCTGAAAACAACTTCCGCTTTTCAGAGATTAGTCAGATGCTTTCTTCGAAACTTTCCATCTTTTGCAATTTCAGCTCCCCAAAGCGGGTTCACATCAGCAGCATATCAAGAAGATTCTGAAAAATACCAGAGACAGAAGCAGTACCGATGCACACAAAAAAGGCTGAATTAAGCATAATTTAATCCAATAATAAGGCAGATAAAACCTATATTCAAAACTAATATTGTTTGAGATAAATTAAATCATTGAACAATATTAGAATATCTGCAGTAATAAACGTATCACAGTAGATTAGTTAAATACAAGTGATAGTACAGTTAGTATATATTATATATTTGTAGCATACTAGTAAGTAGTATATTAGTATATATATACAATATTAAATATAAGAAGTACTTTTTATGTTATCAGAATAAGAGAAAATGCTTCAATGGCTTACATATTATTAATTTTTATTTTGCGCTTTAATTTTTATCCATATTTTAACTCTTTTATCAATTCCAAAAGATGTTGATTTTAACAAAAATCAAAAGAAAGCAAACAAAGATAGAAATCCAGTTCAGTTTTAATTTAGAAATGAAACGATCAGAAGTATAAATCAATATATAAAAATAATGGTAAACACTTTGAATACTCTTTAAATCGAACAAGTTTTAAATTTAACTATATATTTTGCAGCATTTTCCAATCTTTACATCGGTGTTTTCATCCGTTAAAAAATTACTAAATCTGGCTCATATCCACTCAACTTAATTTTAATTTCTTCCTCATGGAATTAAACTATTTCGGTGACTTAAAATAGGTTAACACTAAAAAGCAAAAGTTTATTAATTTGACACATTGAAATTTTTGCTATACTATTGAAATACCATTCGTAGTAATTCTAGGTCAACAAACACATCAGAACGAATGATTGATCAACTCTACAGATGTTTGTGGGCCAAGGACTTTAGAATCTTCAGAGACTACTCTTCCTCTCAAAGTTATTAGATTCTTTTAAATACTTTGAAATCCTCATTAATGTAATCAATCCTCTTTATTCACTCGGCCGGCTTCTTGTTCAGTTCACAATTTATTTTAATATTCTGAACATTAAGGAGGATTTGTTCACTTGGCAGATGCATACCGCAAATTCTATACAGTTCAATGCAGTTGTTAATAACAGATTTATACAGCTTACGAAGCTCATTGTACACATGTGCTTTCATGAATGCTTGCTTTACACTGCTTCCAGAATCTTCAAAACTATATTTTAAATTAATAATTTCTGTGTCAAAAAATTCTTAATCGTACAGATATATCGCACAGATTTAGAAATTAATATTAAGAAACCGATTAAAGGTTAATTCAAATTTAAAATAACATCGTTAACATTCTCACAATGCAACTATCACTTAACTAATCTAACACAAGAGCAACGCTTTTCCCCTTAGAGAGAAAAATATTATGAAAGTCTAAATTGATAAATTACAAGCACTATAAACGTTCTTGTTCTAAGACTAAAGGTTAGTGAAGAGCTGGGTGGTTTTTCAGGGCACGGACTTGCAAGCTTTAGTTACAGTCCAGGACCTTACTCTATCCTACCTCAGCCCTTTAGATTTTAATTTGATCGGGATAATAATTTAAATAATTTTAAAGCCAAATATATTTAGCTGTAAGCACCAGAGTTCTTCAGTGACTTAGGGTCACGGACATGTGAGCTAGCATCACTGTCCAGGACCACCCAGTTCTTTTGACACCCTGGTTCTTACTGCACCGTAGTCGAAAGAACGGAAAAGTTCCGAAACGGCTGA